TTTTGCCTGCCTGCTGACAGCCTGTAAATCTTCTCTCACTATTCTCTCTCTCGGCTCACAGGTAACTGCTGTGGACTGGCTGATTCGGTATGAAGCCAACACCCATTTTTTATTTTAAAACACACACATGGGGCTATTCAATTCTTATCACCAATTTCACATTCAGAGTTTGTAAAAGTCTCTTTTGGGAGGAACTACAGCTCCCAGAATGCCCCGGCAAGCTGGCTGGCCCCGGTATACACAGACAATTTCTCCTTTGAATATTAATTGGGGTGCCCTCGTGGGACCCCAGCATTTGGGTAACAACAGGGAGTCAACCTTGCTGATGTCCATGGGAGGTAATAATAATAATAATAATAATAATAATAATAATAATAATAATAATAATAATAAATTATTTTTATTCCACCCCTCTGCATAACGCAAGCCGGGAGGCTTACAACATTAAAATATACATTCCATATCCCACAATCCCACGCCCCCTTAACATACTATTAAACAGTTGACAGTTTAACACACACTTAAAATAATAACACAAATAAACAAGTTACTTCAGTTACTTCAAAGTTACTTCAAAGGATATGAGTATACAATTGGGTTGTGCCTATGGAGACTATCGCACTCGGTTATAAACCGGTTTACCTGAGCCAGCTTAAAATTAGAAGCGGGTGGCATCCTGATAGTATCAGACACATTTAGCTGCTGAAATCACTGCCCCAAGGGGTGCTCCTTGCACCTCTTTTCAAAGCCGGGAGTTTTCCGGCTTGAAAAAATGGCCACTGTAGCACCCCTCAGAGCGGTGATGGAGCCGGACTGCAGCCGAGCGGCGATTTCGGCAGCTAAATGCATCTGATACTATCAGGATGCTGCCTGCTTCTAATTTTAAGATGGCTCAGGTAAGTCGGTTTATAACCAAGTGTGATAATTTTCTATGTTGCTGTCATCTGTAGGAAAGGCTTTTCAGGTCAGGATTGCACAGCCCACCTAAACCTGTTGGATAACTCCCTTTTAAATGACTTCATTCCAAGCATAAGGAAATGCATCTCAGTACAGTGAAGCCAGAGGGGGAAAAGAAAACTACGCTCACTCACACTGCAATATCACAACTCCAGAAACAATAGTCCAACAGCAGCGATATTGCAGCCATTGGAGGGTGTTTTTTTCCAGCCATGAAAAGATGTGAGATAATAACAATTAAAATACAATGCAACAATGGAGATCTGGTAGCACCTTTGAGACTAACTGAAAGAAAGAAATTGGCAGCATGAGCTTTTGTAGACTTAAGTCTACTTCCTCAAATGCATTTGGTGGAGTGGAGGCCAGGCAAAGACATACCTTATTTTCTGGAGTATGACTACTTTTTAACCTGAAAAATCTGGGGTTAAAGTGGGGGGGTCGTCTTATACGCCGGGTATAAGGAGGTTCATGGTAGGTTTGCCTTAGTGTCATCATCAGTTGGAAATGACTTGAAGGTGCACAGCAACAACAACAACAGTTTTGGAAGTCATACTCTTCCCAAACTCTATATTTTAACTGGAAAAGTGGGGGGTCATCTTATACGCCCAGTCGTCTTATACGCCGGGAAAATACAGTATATATGTGAGGATGTCAATTCAAATTACAAACCCTTTGTGTATGGAAATGAAGTGGCAGATCCAGTCTTAATGATGGTTGATGGTTATTAGTGCACAAAGACATAGGAAACTGCTCTTTGTGCATAAGGATGAAGTGGCAGATCTAGTTTTGTAATGGGACTAGCCTGTGGTGAGGGGAATAGATGAATGTAAGGCACTCCTATGAGGATGGGGTCAGATAGTGTCAGATTATTATTATTATTATTATTATTATTATTATTATTATTATTATTATTATTATTATTATTATTTTCTTATATCCCGCCTTTCTTCCAATATAGGGAGAATGCTATTCTCCTGCAATTGCAGTTTACAAGCCTTGGGTGACAAAGTCCCAAGCCAGTGGACTCTAGGGAACTCCTGACAAATTAAGTGACAGATGGCAATGGTCCTGCAAATCCCTCAGATAAAGAGATGGGGTAAGGAACCACACCCTTGGAATGGGTTTGTTGTTGTTGTTGTATGTCTCTAAGTCATTTTTGACTTATGGCAACCCTAAGGCGAACTAGCGTAGGGTTTTCTTGTTAAGTTTCTTCAGAGGGTGTTTGCCATTGTCATCCTCTGAGGCTGAGAGAGTGTGACTGGCCCAAGGTCATCCCTGGGTTTTTCTACTCAAGCAGGGATTTGAACCCTGTTTTCCAGAGTCATAGCCTAACACTCAAACTACTACATCACACTGGGATCCCATCCTGTTTTAATTCATTTTTGGATGAAGTCATGTAATAAGGTATGGCCACAGAGCCTATTATCCTGCTCTAATTCCACTTTTCAAGCCTTGTGTGAGAGACTATTAATTTCATTTTAACAGTTCTTCCATTTTTACTGGATTCCCCTTTCATTTGCTAATTCAATAACATCAAAAATCCACCAAACAGTGATACCTTTATTGGACCAAGCAAAATGCACAATATACGGTACATGTTGTAAGCTTTTGACACTCCACTGGCTTCTTCATCAGGCAAGGTGTTAAAAGCCGTACAGGAGAAAATAGTTGAAGATGTTAGTCATAGGTCTGCATTTTGCTTTTGTTTTGCTTTTATTTGCTGTTACTGCAAGTTGCCTTGCATCCCATCATAGAAAGCAAGGCAGAATATAAATTCCATTTTGCCCAATACACATGTCTTTGCAAGCATTTTTTTCCTGATCAAGGGCATTTTTTAATCTTTTTTTTTTTTACACCCATGTTCATTTTTGTGCTAAAACATAAACATTTTTGTAAACTTTTTTTATTTTTTTATTTTTATTTTTATTTTGTGTGTGTGTGTGCTTTGTTTTGGATTTGGAGGGGATTGAAGAAGTCCACCAGAAAATTCAGAGAAGTACTGTATTGTTTGAAAGTATGAAACTAGGTAGGCTTGCTTTATAACAGGGAGCAAATAATTCCTGGGCTGGTGGAACCTGAATCTTTTTCTCCATTGAAAACAGCCACATTGGCCCCAATTCTCCTACTGTGGAGAAAGTTTAAACTCAGCTCAGTTTCTTGCTGCTCTCAGCCTGCCCTGATCTTTGTTTACATGTCAGTGACCTTTGGAGTAAAGCAAAAAAAAAAAAAATCAATGTTGGAGGCCAGGGTCCATGTCACCTCCTGGGCCCCCAAGTGACCAGTGCAATGGTCAGTATCTATAATGAATCTCAGAAGTGATTGAGGAGCTGTCAGATGGCTGTCCAGTCCCATCATCGGGTAAATGGCTTGGCATGGATGCATATTGATTTACCACAAGTACATTTTCACACTGTTTTTTTTTTAAAAAATATAGCACTTGCACAAGGGCTCCAAGCAACCTCAACTCCTCATCTGCTGTTTAGACCCAGAACTTTCAACAGGCTTCCCCAAACCAGTGTCCTTTGGACACTTTGGACAACAACTCCCATTATTCCTGACTGTGATAAAGTTAGAATTCAAAGACCTAGGACGTTATCTAGCCATGTTAGTCTGTAGAATCAGTATGTAGAGAGATCTCGTAGCACCTTTGATACTAACTGAAAGAAAGAAGTTGGCAGCATGAGCTTTCGTAGACTTCAGTCTACTTCCTCAGATGCATAAAGCTGGTTCAGATCGAAGAGAGTTGCAGTCAAAAGTTGCTTCGAGATTGCAAGCAGTTTGATTATAATATAATAATAATAATAATAATAATAATAATAATAATAATAATAATAATAATTTATTTATACCCCGCCCCTCTGTCAACCAATCGGGACGGCTTACATCAGTTAAAAATTCCATACAATATAAATCAGGGAAATTGAGGAAGTTTGACTTATCACACGGATTCCTTCTTTTTGGGGGGGAAATTGAACTAAAGATGAAAAAGAAGAGGAAGAAGAGAAAAGATTGAATGTGAAAGGAAAGAGAGAGAGAGAGAGAAAGGGAGGAGTACTTATGACATAGTCATGGCTGCATATATTCGTTCATATACATCATTTATTGTTTGTTGTGTGGCTTAAGGTTATAAGTCAACCCTAAAGCAACCCTATCACAGGATTTTCTCATCAAGATTTGATCACAGGGGGGTTGCCTTTGCCTTTCTCTGAGGCTGAGAGAGTATGACTTACCCAAAGTCACTCAGTGGGTTTCCATGGCTGAGTGGGGATTCAAACCCTAGTCTCCAGAATCATAGTCCAATGCTCTAACCACTATGCCACACGGGCTCTCATATAAACAGACTGCCAGCTGCATCATTGTTAATCCCAAATAGTGTAGACCCAGAGCCATGGTGCAATGCTTTGAATATTCAACTGGGGCTTTGGGAGACCAGGGTTTTAATTCCTGCACCTCTCCACCCCAAAACAATTTCTTTCCCTGCTAAGATAAACCATTTATGCAGGCATAAAAAACTGGATTCCACACACACACACACACCTTCCATTTCCATGGAATATATTTCATTCAGCCATGAACTATCTTGGCTTCAGAGGGAGGCAAAGGCAAACCCCCTCTGAACAAATCTTGCCAAGAAAATCGTATGATAGGGTTGCCTTAGGGTCACTATATGACTTGAAGGCACACAGCAAAAAAAATAAAATAAAATAAAATATATAAATGAAGGTTTAAATCCTTTTTTTAAAAAAATATCCCACTATTAAGCCCAAAAGCCTCCCAGAGCAATTTGCACAGAATCAGTCAAAATAAGACAATTCCTTCCTGAAAATTTGTAATTTAAGATAACATGACACAAAAGAAAAAAGGAATGGAGAAGGAAGATAAAAACTGAAGAAAGAAGACCTACTCACTTACCTCTGATGGCCTCTGATATCTGCAGGTCAACTTAAGCTGCAAAACACTGGATTTCAGTAATACACAGATAGTGACCTGAACTTGGGTTGGTGGGTCACAATGTATATTTAAAATGACCCAATTCATTATGGGCCAGCGTAGTGTAATGGTTGCACCTTGGATTAGAACACTGGGAGACCAGGGTTCGAGTCCCAGCTCAGCCATGGAAACCCACTGGATGACCTTGGGCATGTCATACTGTCTCAGCCTCAGAGGATGGCAATGGCAAACCTCCTCTGAACAAATCTTGTTAACAAACTCTCATGATAGGTTCACCTTAGGGTTGCTGTAAGTCGGAAATGACTTGAAGGCACACAGTAGCAACAACAATTCATTATGATCTGTTGTCCCAATATTATGACTCATTCTCCTGGCTTATTATTTATTACCCAACAAGAACTTAAAGCTAAACTAATCCTCTTCATCTTCAGTGTCTTTTCTTCTAGCAGTAGACTTGCAAATTGAGTTGAGAGAGAAAACAGGCATCAAGCCAACTATGGAGGCAAGCTTGGGACCCTGCGAACACTGCTTGCAAAGTGTCAGTTGTCTTGGTGCATTAGAGAAATGACAGTAATAGATATTCTTTCTTTACTTACTGCATTTCTGTATCACTCATTCAGCAAAGGTCTCTGGAGTGTTTACAAGTAAACGTTATAAAAGCATAAAAGCATAATTTCAAAATCTGTACTATCTGAAGCAAATAGCATAAGCCAAAAGGAAATGAATAAATCCAATGCAAAATAAATCTAAAGCAAAACCAGTAGCTGAAATTACTAGCACTGCACAGTCAGTAGTTGGCATAAATTCACCTCTTATATGCTTGTGGCTGAAGCAGGATTTGAATATGGGGCCCCATAGTTTACATCATTTGCCACAAGTTAAATTAAATTAGCAGTGAAGGAAGCACAGCTTATTTTTTCCTCAGGCTCTTTCAAATTTACAAAACAGAGTTACAAAATTTACAATGGGATCATTCCTGCCACTGCCATCGCTTCTGGTCTAGGATTCACCTTTCCACCAGAACCACCATCTTCTCTTCTTGGCCAGTTTGGGCTCAGAGGTGTCAACGGAAAAGGCAAGCCTCGGGAGGGAGATGGTTAGAGAAACCACAGGCAGCAAAACCTCCGTTCTGAAACTTCACACCTACGGTAATGAAGAAAGAAGGAGGCACCCAAAGGCAGCTGCTAGGGGTACATTCAAGAGCAGAAAAGGGTAGGTCAGGACCTGCAAACAGAAGAGAAAGGATAAGAAAGGCTGTGATACTTACTGTGGTTGGGCCAGTCAACCGAACATAGGATGGGTGGCAATTGTGATCGATCCAGGACCCAGTTTTTGGCCTTTAGTGGTTTTAAAAAAAATGTTAAACAGTATGAAGGGATCTTGCAAACTATTCAGAAGGTTAATTGCCAATCCTGGGGCTGCTAGAAGAAACATGCATCTGTTCTTTCACCAGAAAAGGGTGGGCTAGGGTGCTTTTCCTCCTTTTTACTTTTAATTGTTATAATAATTTTAATGCAGTTGGCCTTCTGTATCCACAGATTTTTTTATCCACGGATTCAACCATCCACGGCTTGAAAATAGTCAAAAATAATATCAATTCCAAAAGGAAATCTTGATTTTTCCATTTATATAAGAGACACCATTTTACTATGCCACTGTATATAATGGGATATGAGCATCCAGGGGTTTTGGGATCCATGGAGGGTCATGGAACCAAACCCCAGCAGATACTAAGGGCCAAATGTATCACAAATTAAACAATCAACAAAAATCCACACCGATGCTTGAAAACAATTGACAGTCTGGGAGTCTACATCCACACTTTGCCCACCCCAGGCATAGAAGGACTTCTGTTGGATTAGATCCAAAGCCCCACCAATGGCATTACCTTTCTGCAATGGTGGGATTGTGTTTTCCAGTGAAGCAAGAGGCTATGCTGAAGGCAGCAGCATTGCTGATAGGCTTTCCCATGTCAGACAGGCTTTTGCAGAGCAACCAGACTCCTGAGCAACATCAGTAATGGGGGGGTGACACTGGCAGAGAATCTCTCAGAGATAATGGCAGTGGCACCATTGTTGTTAGCTGCCCTGAAGTTGGTTCCAACTCATTGACGACCCTGTGGATGCAACATCTCCGAGAATCCCTATATTCCACTGCCTTTCCCAGATCATGCCACCCTTTGCCCATAACCCCCTGATTGAGTTTATCCATCTGGTCAGTGATCTTCCTCTCTTTCTTCTACCCTCTAGCTTTCATAGTATTATTGTTTTTTCTAGTGATCTTTGCCTTCTCATGATGTGGCCAAAGTACAATAGTCTCAACTTGATCATCTTTGCTTCCAAGGACAACTCTGGTCTGATTTGTTCAAGAACCCATTTGTTTGTCTTCTTGGCTGTCCATGATATCCTAAGTACTCTTCTCCAGCACCACATTTCAAATGAGTTGATTTTCTTTCTGTCTACTTCCTTCACTGTCCAGCTCTCACATCTGTACATGGTAATTGGGAATCCAGTGGCCTGGATGATTCTGAATGTAGTGCTCAGTTGTATGTCTTTGCTCTTCAGTATATTGTCCAGTTCTTTCATAGCTGCCCTTAGTGCACCATAGCTAACACTTTTTAGTAATGCATAAAAGGAGGCATGGCAAATCTTTTGCGAATGTCTTTTACCATGAAATGCCTATGTTGAAGCAATCCAAACTGAAGCAAGAGATAGTGGCAGAAGATGACACTCCCAGGTTGGATGACACTCAGCAAGATGCCCCTGAGTTGACATGAAGGCACATAACTACAGCCACAACATCTCCCAGTGTGTTGAGTGGGTGTTGTGATCCCTCTCAGCTCCCAGAAAGGTGTCCACCTCTGTTTTAACCAGACAATATCTCAAACATGCCCATCTACTGTTTTACACACTTACTGAAAGCGGTTCTCCATTATCTCAAAGGCTTCACTCAACACCTGCTATTCAGACCATTATTTCATTGGAGGTGTTGAACACTGAACCTGGGCTGGGAACTTCAGTGTGCCCAGCAAGTGTTCTCTGCCAGTCTATCCATGAGAGCATGATGATACATACCACAGATGGCAGTCAATGTACAGTGGGAAAGGCTTTTCACACATTCTAAGCTCCGCGCTGAGTGGAGCAAGCTCAGAATATGTGAAAAGCCTACCCATGCATTTACAACTAAAAATACAATGGGCGGAGAAGGAGATGGGATGAATCTGTTTTCAGGTGACACAACAAAACCACTGGAAAGAGGAAATGTGTTCCGGCATGCACCTTCCTGCATAGCTGATTGTCACATTAACAGTAGCCTACCCACCCACTCACACTTCCATCTATGTTCCATCATATGGCACCAACAAAAGTGTTGCCTGCTTTCCTTTATAGGAGGTGGAGTGTGTAAGAAACCAATAACAGCAATGGCTAAGCCAGACAGCCTTTGCAAACATCTCCACTCAAGGAGTTGCATGCAGCCTACGCTCTCCCTGCGATGCCACAATGCTCTGAGTTAATTGTGGTTTCTCACTATGGTTTCCTTTGTTGCTGGGAGCTCATCGCTTCTCCCCTTCCCTCCATGGCTTGTGGGCTGTGGGAGTGTGGGCAAGCAGTGAGGGTGGCAGGTGAAGGAAACCATTGATTACCTGTAAAGATAGACTATGCTGTTTATAATAAAAGGGGCCAGAGAGTTTTCCCCTTCTGCATGGAGTTGGGATGATGAAGCTGAAGCAACAGGCTCAGGTAAAACAAGTGCATTTTGAGCATGGACGTTCTGCCATCTCAAAGCCTGTCCTCCCCTGTTGGATATCAGCCTGTCATACAGACATTAGAAATGCAACGCTTCCTTTGGGAAGAAAGTCTTGGTAAGCTTTCCACCTGGCATGGAACCAGAACTTGGGAAAATGACTTTGTTTAGCCTATTATTTCTTAGTCAATTATTTCTCAGCCAATATAACTACTGGGTGAGAGATAGTGGGAGTTGCAATCCAAATAACAGCAACTTTCCCAAGCTCTGAAGGCATCCACAAAATGGATTTTAAAGGATTCATTTCAGAGGGGCTTGACTCAATGTGTATATCATTTAAAGAATCAGCTCTTTTGGGGAGGGACCATACTTTGGTATTTGGCTAACCTGGGACCTGCTTTACAAAGCAAGTCTCAAGTTTTAGGTTTAATACAGCCCTCAGCCATGTGGGTCAGAGCCAGGAGAACATCTAGAGAGGAGGTGCCAGATCGAGCAAATGAGAACCAAGGGCAGGAGACATAAGGTTGCACTTTGAAACAATGGATGGAATCCTGTTGTGGACGTACACGTTTGTAAGTGGATTTATGTCTGCAGGAATTAGAACTGGGCAGTTCCATAATGTTGGTATCCAGAAAGAGTCTGCAGTTACGTTACTACATAGGGGAGCTAGCAATGTGACCAATGCTCATTGAGACCAATGCACAACAGCCCTATTGTGCATCAGGACAACCAGCTGTGTGCACTGGGACACTGACATACTCTTGCTGGTGTCCTGTTACACATCAAGTCTAAACCCAACATTCATTTATGTTTCATATACACCTGAAGGTAATTTTATACAACATTGTTAACAACTTTGTGCATGAAACAATGTTTGTGTACACTGAACCACAAGAAAGCAAAGGTGTCACGATCTCAGCCACTCATGAAAAAAGTTTTGTTTTCTGGAATATTTCAGATTTCAGAATTCCAGATAAGGGAGACTGAATGTGTAGTAACTATGATATGGTTTAAAGCAACTTCTAATGAGAGCTTGAAAACCTACACCGACCTGCCCCAGTCTTGTAATAATAATAATAATAAATTTATTTATATCTTGTGTCTCCAAACAGATCAAAGTAGCTAACAATAATAAAACAACATTAAAATAAAGTAAAACATCATATCCCATCATAAACCCTCCCATCCACAATAAAAAGTACATTTTAATTATTAAAACAAAGCAAAGCAGGGGCAATTGATGGGGACTGAAGTACCTCCTGCTAGTTTTTGACTAGAACTCCTATCAGCTCCAGTCAGTATGGACAATCACCAAGGATGATGGTAGTTATAATCTAAAACATCTGCAGGGCATTTGGAGGAAGGCTGGTGTAAGGCAGGGGCAGCTCATGGCTTCCATGTCCAGGGAAGCTGTGAATCT